CAAAGAACCCTAATTTAGTAGAAGAGCAAGTGATTTTACCGAAAAAACCCAATCTTTTTCCAAAATTACCGGAGGAAGAGAAAAAGTAGATCGTCGTTGTGAGGAAAGAGAGCAACAACGAGATGCAAGATGGCGACACACTCCACAAAGCCACCGGAGAGAGAGAGCAAACGAACAAACCACTAATACCCAAGAGCAACCCGCAACTACAGAGCCACCGTTCCGAAGCATTCAGAGACACTGACAAAGCTCTATCAAAGCTAGTGGCCACGAGAGATCTTGATTGCAAATCCGTCTACAATTCTTCAAATAAACAGATTTACAACGAGATAAAACCAAAGACTCACCGCCGGAGAGGACAAAATCCACAGATCTCGAACCTATCGACGAACTCAAATCTTAGCAACACAAAGAGAACTGAGATCTGCTTTCGACAGTAAAGAAAAACCAATAAGAAGAGGCGCCGATGAATGAAGAGCAATGAGGAGCCCCTCTCGCAGTGGCGGTGCGAATCACCGCTCACCGGAGAGGGAGAACGGAGGAGGCGGCGCTTGTCTCTATAGTTTAAAGGTGGGGAGAAAAAAATTCGCCTCTTAAAGACTTAATTAGAATGTACAATTTGAACGACTTAATAAAATGAAAGTACAATTAAACCCAAAACATACAACAGAGCTATATGTCTTTATCACTCGACAAAATTATAAAGGTATAAATCGACAAGATATATAAAAAGGAAATGAAACTAAAAGCATTCAAAGATTTTTTTTTTTCCTAAGTCTCAAATCCATACACATGAGAAGAAGCTATAGCTTTATCCACCACTTACACAACAATGGTGCAAACAATAACAACAATTAATTATCTATATGGACAATGTAAAAATGTTGAAACAAAATTTCAGAGATAATAGTTTTATCCATATCAAATTATCCATTGTTCCTTTCAAAGTTTAATAAATAGTTTAAAATCTATTTATCCTAAAATTAAATAATTAAGTCCATGACCATAATTATGACCACATAAACTTGTGATACAAGATTTAGCTAGAATCAAACACAGTTCATCATTTTCAGGAAAATGGATTTACTACCTCTCATTGAGTCGAGTCTTTACAAGATCTGATTCTCGAACGATAAATAGGCATTCATCTAATTCCGGCCAAATGGGCAATGTTGATAATACAAGAGAAATTTACATAAAAAAATTCCGAAATATC